AAAAAATGTATTATATTTGTAAATTGTACTTATGTTGAAATTAAAAAAATATGACAATACTATTTTTGCATTCTATGAAAATTTTTGTTGCTCCATATAGACCAAATTTTTAATTAAGAACCCCCATCCCCACCCCCATCAATGGTATCCCGCTTTACCAATGTTAAAATCTGGTCACCTTAGGTAGAATGCTATGGAGTCATAGCTCACAGCAACCTCCAACTCCTTGGCTTAGGCAATTCTCCTGCCTCAGTCTCCTGAGCTGGGACCACAGGTGCCCAACACAAGGCCCAGCCATTTTTTGTTGCTGTTTGCCAGGGCTGGGTTTGAGCCTGCCATCCTTGCTATATGGGGCCAGCACCATATTCACTGAGCCACAGGCACTGCCAACGCCCAGCTATTTTTAGAGACGCGGTCTTGCTCTGGCTCAGGCTGGTCTTGAACTCATGAGCTCAGGTAATCCACCTGCCTCAGCCTCCCAGAGTGTTAGGATTACAGGCATGAGCCACTACGCCCAGCCTCTATTTCCATTTTGTGAACTTGCACATTCTAGAGTGAAATTAATTCAATAATAATTTTTTTTTTTGAGACAGAGTCTCAATTCGTTCCCCTTGTGTAGAATGCCATGGCCTCATAGCTCACAGCAACCTCAAACTCTTGGGTTCAGGCCATCCTCTTGCCTCAGTTAAAAAAATTTTTTTTAATTGTTAGTAGAGACGGGGGGTCTCACTCTTGCTTGGGCTGGTCTTGAACTCTCGAGTTCAAGCAATTCACCTGGCCTCCCAGAGTGCTAGAATTACAGGCATGAGCCACTGCACCTGGCCTCCATAATTATTTTTATATCTGACTTATTTCACTTAGCTGTCAAAAGTTCTTAACCTATATGCTGATTCATTATTAGATTCCCCACAACTGGGAGCTTGGTGCTTCTGTCCTCACTTTACAGATAAAGAACCTGAGCCTGAGAGGCTAGGTAATTTACCTAAGAGCACTCAGCTGGTAAGGAGGGTGCTAGCAGCCAGTCCTTATACTCTTATACTGCTGCTGCACTTCCCCTCCCTAAAAATCTTCGGCTCAAGTCAGCCCCGTAACCAAGAACATCAACTCCTTTCCATGAAGCCCCATACTCCTCTAGATTTTCTGAAGAGGAGCTGGGCATCCTCAGCTTGAAGCATTTATTCACTTCCTGTGCCAGCTATGCTGGGCTCTGGGGAAACAGATGAACTCCCATTCAATAGAGGGTATGGGAACTTAGGGGATTTCATCCAGGCTAAGGGTTAACAAGGGAAGTACTCTGGGAGAAAAGTGTTGCTTAAGCCAAGATTCAAAGACTAGTAATCTGGCTGGTAGCATTTGGAGATGGGGAGAAAAGGAAGACAGTGGCCACTGGTTATTTGTTGTGCTTGCTGTGAGTTCTCTGTATGGATAGATATTGGTTTACCCATTAACTTTCCTGCTTATGACCTTTTGCTGTCCCCAGGTTAGAGATTGTGGAAAAAGATGCCGTGATCTCATTCTTTTTTTTTGAGACAGAACCTCAAG